AATTCGCGAATCAAAATATCATAACAAGAATAAGTCTTCGAAAAATTAAGTAAAAAAGTTATTTGTAAATTTTTATTTTAAGCAATAGTTTTTGAGATATAAGGGTTTAAATTTAGCCAATTATTGATTAGTACTCGCGTGAAGTGCGCGATCACTATACACTATCGACGCGCCCACGGACATGTTTTTGTTTAATCATAATCTATGGCTGCGTTCAGGGATTCACGGTATATCATGTTATCCTTGTTATTTACCGAATGTTAAACAAGGATAAAATGATATCTAGATGCACCTAGGCAAAGTTTCTGAACGCAGCCCTATATATAAGTGATTAAATTTAAACTCTTTTATCTCAAAAACTACTGTTTAAATTAAAAATTTACAAATAACTTTTTTACTTAATTTTTTGAAGACTTTCTTACTATGATATTTTGATTCGCGAATTTCGGAACCCTGTATAACGGTCTTTTCATTTATACTCATTGTACTGAGAAGGGCTCAAACAGGAGCTGAAACGTTTACTGTATTTATCTAATTTTAAACACACGTTCATTCTGTACGTGTCGATATAGATTGACTTTATTCCTATTTATTTGATTTATTTAACTTAAGGTTGAATTTTTATCGAATATTTACAATTAAAATAAAAAATCAAGATAGATACAACATTAAAAAAACGTTCTTCAACATACAACAATATGCAACGACTTAACAATGTTTTTTCAATGTTCTGTGTTGTATGCAATCATAAAGTCACTATGAGTCTGTACTTGTATTTACAATCAGTTAAATAATAAGTATATATGCAACAGGTATTTCATTACTGGGTACACCGACGGAGATTTATGTACATGGCACAACTTACCTATTCATTTGTTCTGCGGTTGTTTTTGTCACCCTTGTCACATCCTTCGTGTACTTGCCAGTTTTTCATGAGCTCAAACTCACTAGTACTTATGAGTATCTTGAGAAGCGTTTCGATAAAAGGATGAGATTACTAGGTTCAGTCCTTTTTGCCATCAGTATCGTGAGTAAAAATCAGAAATTTATATTTTTATCTTTCTATAAACACATTTTAGTACACAATATTTTTTTAGATAACTTGGCTTCCAATTGTCATTTACGTACCTGCATTGGCCTTCAATCAAGGTACATATTTTCTTAATAAAAGGTCTTTAATGAAAATTTTATAATCTGATAATTTCTAAATTTGTACAATATTCGATATACTAATTATACTTATGCGCAGTCGTGCGTGCATAATTTTAGTTTGTTTAAAAACATGTATAAATGGAATAATGTCATTATTATAATGTTATTGTCAAGAAATTATTTAGGATTATTCCATTTTCAGTTACCGGAGTAAACGTACATATAGTTACACCCTTTGTGTGCATCGTTTGCATATTCTACACTTGTGTGGTAAGATTTGATTTTGAAAATATTAAAAAAATGATACAACATATAACATATAACATAACAATATAACATATATCAAGGTTAATATCATTGGAGATGCTTCTCCTCCTTAATCCTCTGTGCACCAGGTAGAAAAAATCAACATGCCGAACCATGTGGAATATGTATCTCATACCCCATGTTATTATACTTCACTTTAAGTATACTAATTTAATAGGACAATAATTTTGACTGTCATAATATCGATTCTTGTTGTTGTACAAGAATAAAACAAAATAATAAACTTTTTAATATTTTAAAACGCGAAATCAAAAATAATACTATTTCTTATAACGAATTTATAAATTTAAGCAGTTTCAATGTTGGTGGGGTATGTCATACCCCACCTATAGTGCACGGAGGGTTAACATTATTTTTGCGAAAAAAATTTTTAGTACAATTTTGTTAAAAGACATTATTATTTGATTTAGGGTGGTCTTAAGGCAGTAGTATGGACAGACTTTTTTCAAACTTTTTTTATGTTTGGCTCCATGTTATTAATTGTAATAAAAGGCACAGCGGACGTTGGTGGATGGTCGCTAGTAATTCGAAGGAATCTGGAATCCGGAAGACTCGAATTCCCTACGTGCGTGCATTAAACAATAATCCTTAATTGTGATAGTGATGCAATATAAATTTGTTTGTGTTACTTACATCCTATGCATTCTTTGTTCTTTCTCTCTCCAAACGTACATCCGAACAATGTTTTACCTAGTTTTAGATAAAGAAAACATTAAAGTATCTTTTAAAAGAGGGTACAACTTTCAAGAATTTTTACGACCATTCGGGAATCTTTTTATTTCTACATTTTCTTATTATTTTTTTTTTCATAAAAACTGAAAATTATAATAATAATGTTACATTCAAGGAAAAATGGTTTTCAAGACTGACAAGTATTTCGGTTTTGTATAAATAAATATCAATTTTTAATTAAAAAAGGGTCTGAACTTATTTGTAGACCATATTTCTTCAAATGCAGACGCACGTTTATTCGTATATCTTTATTATTATCTCATTGGCCTAGTTTACACCGAGCACTTGATACTAACAATAAGTACCAAATTCGTATCAAATCTTGATACGGTCGGTGTAAACGTTCGCGGATTATCTTAATACGGTCTGGTCTGATACTCCTGAATCGCTAGTATCAGACCAAAATTGTACGCGTATCAAAAGATTCTGGCGTACTCTAAATACTTAGTTCGTTTTTAATCGGATTAAATACGTCACTGCTGCATTAGGTTTAAGTTGTTTTAAGATTAAAATTAGAATTAGAAGTTTTGTGAAATAAAAAACTTAAAAACCTATCATATATAACTTATTTTGAAATGAATCGATGTAAACAGTGACGTATCAAGTACTTAGTCCGCACCAACCTGACACTCGTATCAATTAATTTAATGGTATAAACTAGGCCATCAAGTATTGCAAAAATCATACAGAACTTTTTAATACAGTTCAGCTTGCTTTACCTATTTACGAGAAGTAATCCACAAATTATGAGATAAGTTATGTATAGATTACACATAATGTATTATAAAAAACAAATAGAAAAAATTACATAAAATAAAATATTTATCATCTTTTGAAAGAGAGGGGGGAGGAAGGAAGAAAAAGGATAGATAGATAGATAAATGGGTATTGCTATTTTTGGAACATTCTAGGATATAGCTTCCTCTCAAGCTTTGAAAGGAAGGAAGAGATAGAGAGAAAGAAAAAAGAAGAGTCAAAGAAAGAGAGTGCAGTCCTTGTTAAAATAAAAATTGGTTTATATTCATAGAAAGATATTAATTGCATTTTATAAAGCATGCGATTATTGTTCAATAGGACGGATTGGAGTCCTTTGACGAGACATACAATTTGGGGACTTACTATAGGCGGTTTTGTTCATTGGTTACAAATCTCTGTCATTAATCAAAATATGATTCAACGATATTTATCACTTCCTACTTTACAATCAGCTAGAAGGTATTTTGTTTTAATAAACTATAAACTCTTTTATAAAAATAATAATACATTTTTTAAAGAAAAAGAGAAATATATATGATCGAAGATGAGTATATTACATCCATTGAGTACTAATAGGTACATGGTTTGTTCCAAAAGTAATAAGACTATTTTTAGGTACCCAATTAGAATTGTCGGGGAGTGGATACATTAGACAGGCCGGCCTTTGGTGCGGGATATTAGATCAAAATCTGACTATTCTCAGTTGTCTCCAAGTCTAGCTTTCTAGCAGTCAATACCGTCAGAAAAGTGCATTGTAATTTTTGTGTCTTGTCACAGACGAAAATTTAGCACAGACTGTATTTTGAGCAGCGTTACGCAATTAAATTTTGAAGACAAAGCAGCATCTCCCTAAGCTGTTCTCAACATCTCCAACGTTTCGGATCCAACGATCGGAACCAGATTTTCTCAGTTTCACGCAGAATTTGATTGCTGCTTGAAACTGCTGTTTTTCGCCCGTGACAAAACACAAAAATTACAACGCACTTTACTGACAGTATGGACTACTAGAGAGACTCGGAGGCAAGGATCAGACTGTATACCTGACATCCCGCACCGAAGGTCCCGTCCAATAAATCCATTCTCTGACAATTCTAATTAGGACGCCAAAAATAGTCTCATTATAGTTATATATAATTATATATAATTATAATTCATAATTATTATAGGTATATTAAAGCATATAATTATTATTAAACAAATTATAGTAATTACATAATAATTATCAAATTAATGTTTTTATGCATTTTAGAGCACTCTGGTTTTTTATGATCTTTGTAACAATACTTTTGTGTATATGTGGATATGCTGGTATGTTGATTTATGCCTGGTATCATGAATGTGATCCACTTACAACCAAGGTAATATTTATTATACATATAAGGAAGGTTACGGAAGTGTCTTTTTCTGATTTTGATAAGTTTTGAATTTAAAGATATAATACGTACCACTGAAATTAAAAAGTCTGTTTTATCAATCTCGTACAAATTTGGTTGATCTTCCATCGCCTTAAGGAGTGACACTTTAGAAAAAAAATCGATTTTTTTTTTAAGCAAATATCAAAATTATAAAAGATAGAACAAAAATGTTTCAAATAAAAGTTAAATGGTTTTAAGAGTACTTAATAATTATAATTTGTTGGGCATGGATAATAATAATTGTGACCGTGTATAAAATATACATGAATACTTTATTAATTGTCTCACAATAATTGTTTCGAAGTCGAGAGGTGATGTAAAAAGAACAACGAGAATAAAAACACAGTGGCAAAACCAACCAAAAATTAAAATAAAAATAAAAATCTTACATGAGCACCACTGCCAACGTAACACTACGTATTATTAAATTAGCGTAATTATCGTAATATGACGTAAAAAACGTAATATAATTATATTAAAAATCATTTGATTACATATTATAATATTTGTTCAAACTCAACCATAATTTAAACTTAAATTAATTATATAATTTAATAATTATATATTAAATTCGTGAGATCGGCCAACAACGGCCATATAAATTAGGATCTTGGCTCATTAAAATTTTATATAATTTTATGTACATTTTTCTAGTTCTTTAAACTATATACGTAACGTGCCATTACTTTCGGTCTCGACGCAGTTTCTTGACCGAACCAGAATAGTAATATCAGTACTAAATTGATAATCAATTTAATAATTCTGATGTTTATTAGCATTTTATAAGATTTTTTTTTCTATCTCTCATAATTTCAATAATTTGTTTAAAACAAACTGATTTCTTTTTTTTAAGGGATGTTTCACTTCTTAAAAGTGCCTATAAGTACCTACAAAAATAGATGTCCTTTATTATTGTCTGAGAAAACAACATTGTATATTCAAAACTCATCAAAATCGGAAGGGAACACTTCCGTGATTTTCCTTGTTTAACATATTTAATATTAATGCTGACATCAACTAACTTGTATCCAATTGTATGTTTAACATAGTTGGCACGTGCCAAGGATCAGCTATTACCATTGTTAGTTATGAACGTTTTAGGAGATTTTCCAGGACTGCCTGGTCTCTTTGTGGCTGGGGTATTTAGCGCCGCACTGAGGTAGCTATATATTTATATGTTTTAATAATTAAAACAAATGGAATAAAATAAAGATTTATGTAAATTATGTATTAAAAAAAGTTTTATATTACATTACGTAACATATGCATATGTTACATACATATATTTTTTAATTTAAAATACATATATATGCATTGTTGTGTTATGTGTAAATACTGTAAATGTTTATATACATTACATAATGCATATATTGTTGTATGTCCCCCTTTCGTAAAATGTAGGTTTACGTGTAATACTTTTTGCGATAAGCAGATCACTGTTGCAACCTAATCTTGCAACAGTGACTTATTGCAATAATATTATAAGGACTGCCGAACATGGATTTAACATGGACAGAGAATACGCTGCCGATTAGGACAAGGGGGATCTAAGTTTAGTAAGGGGAGATCAGGCTCAGATCGGATAATTTCGACGGAACTCGGTATAATTCGGCTTGTAGATTCGTGCTTTTTTTGTATGTTACAGGTATAAAGTTAGATCGGATTGTTCAGAATTTATGTTCAGAATCGTTGTCGTTTATAGTGTTTCTGTTAATAAAAATAAATAAAAATTATATAATAATGGGTTATTGTGTCTGGATGCAGTAATATATTATTTTTATGTATTTCGCTAATTTCTATTTTACTCTAAAATACGAGCCAATCATCTACTTATGATATAAAATAGCACAGAAATATCAGTGCATGTATGAGCAATATAGCATGCATTGATGTACTGACATGCTTAATTATTGGCATATAAATGATAGCAAATTATAAATTAATCATGATTCTGCATATGAAACCAATCATAATAAACTTGATTTTTGTATCAAGTACAACACAGTTTTTGAATCAAGAAGCAGTGCATGCGTGACTGTAACTGATAATTTTTTTTTTAAGAATATCTTAGGAAGCAATTTTATGCAACGCTTATGGATTAAAGTTGAAAGGAAAAACAAAGGGACTAGAAAAATAATGTGTTTATAAGTTCTCTATTGTATAATAAATTTTAGAAATAAAGTGCGGATAAATATTGACTCCCCTTGTATATATACATATATCTATAGTATATATATACATATTCTTCTTTTCTCTTCCTGTTCTTTCACTCTCTACCCTCCCTTTTCTTCTGTGTTCTTCTTTCTTTTTCAGTGTATTTATTAAAATTAATTTATGATCACTTTCTTCCAGTTCATTATCAACCGGTCTAAACTCCATGGCAGCCGTGGTGCTGGAAGATTTTGTCAAGCCTTTTATGAAGACTCCTTTTACGCGTAGGGGTGCTGATATTTTTATGAAGCTCACTGTTGTCATTTTAGGCGCAATCTGTGTTGCTCTCGTTTTCGTTGTCGAACGGGCGAGCACTCATGTATTACAGGTAAACAGGACATTTGAGACATTCGTCAACAAATGCAAACTAATCTTTTTCTTACTTGAATGAATTTTATAGTTGTCCATAAGTCTAGGCGCCATTACCACTGGACCATCCTTTGGCATTTTCAATATGGGAATATTATTACCATGGATTAATGGCAAGGCATGTGTGTGTGTGTTAAAGATAAATTTATGTTATCTTAATTTTATAAAAATTATATTTAAATTTATTGATGAAAATATGTGATTAAATTTGACAGGGTGCTCTAATTGGAGGAATTGCAGGTTTGAGTTTCATGGGTTGGCTTGGTCTTTCTACCGAAGCAGCTATCACTAGTGGAAAAATTAAGTTAGTATTATAAAATTATCAATATGTTAATAAAGTGGGTGTCTTCATTTTTAACTTTCACATCGAAATGTCTTTAAAAAATATGAAAGATACGATAAAATGTTTTAAACAAAACTTGTATGGCCTGAAGAGGGACAAATAATGGTAAAATTAATTTTAAACAAAAATAAATTTTTCAAGATTATATAAAGTTTATCAAATTTTTTTAAATGAATTTATACATTTTTCTTTACATAATATGATTTCTCTACTTATTGTGCATATAATATTAAAGTAAAGTTATCGAAGTCAGCTGTACAATATAATATATTTTGAAATTCAAATTAAGAATATACGTTTATCGACGAATTTGACAATATTCCGTTCATGTTCGCCGATGAGCTTGATACATTTACATTTGACAATTGTTCTGCTCACGCTTGCCGAAGAATTCTATTAAGCTCCATTGATGACATTTTTTAACATTTAGTTGTCACTTTCTTAACGATTTAATATCTCAATTTTTGCCTTTTATTTTGTTTACATTTTCATTACTCCCTTATACTTGACTGACTTTCCAATTGATGCTTAATTGTTTTACGTTTTATTTTAACCAGAATTTATAATTATACAGGGTGTCTCATAAAGATTGTAATAACGCTTAAGGGCAAATTCCTGAAATTCCTCATTTTTAAGACAAAGTTTTAATTAATACCATTCTATATGAATTTTTAATTCAATTATTTATATAAAATTTATTAGTCACCATGCAAGATCCAGACATGACCGTAAAAGGCGCTCTCTAATTTATTTGTGTTTTCACATACGCGGTATATCTATAAGTTCAAATTATTGTTGTTTTATCTATTTTTTTTTGTGTATCACTTTATATCCCTATATCTCCACAATTTTTCTTGTATGTTATTATAATGGCCTAATAATATTATAGGGAAATCATGACAAATTACATAAGTTAATAATTTTTCTCATATTGAATTAAAATCAATTATACCTGATTTATATTATTATACTTGAATTATATCTGATTTACATGTTTATATTTGAAATAGTTGATTTTGATCATATTTTTAAAATTAAGTAAATAATTACGAAATTACATAATAGTTAAGTTGAACTTACACTTAATCAATATATACATATGCGACAAAATATTGTATTAATACTTTTTTATTATTTTCTATAAAGAAATAATAAAATAACGAATATATGACATCTACCTACTCTGTCACAGATTTAATACGAAACCCGTCACCACAGAGGGATGTACCTATTCATTTCCACAAGTAGAGAATTTATTATTATCTGTACCACCAGATTCAATTTTGAAGGACGTTGGAGAGTAAGTTAAATAATGTTAATGTCCTTATACCTACCATGTACTTAAGATACGTCAATATAAACTGCAGAATATCAAAAGTAATTTACAAAACAAAATAATGTATTCTTTTTTAAAGTCATAGAAATTTTTAGAAACAGTCGAAAGCATGTAACAATATAAACTAAATTCGAGCTTCGAAATATTTTTTAAATATTTTTTAAATGTTTTTTTATCAAATTTTAGCGATTTGAAAATTATACAATTTTGAACATTTAATTAAAAAATATTTCTTATTTTTAAGTTAACTAGTGTAATAGTCATTATGTTTAATATTATAGGGAACCATGGGCATTATACCGTCTGAGTTATCTTTGGTATACTATGACTGGTGCCTTAGTGACTATAAGTGTCGGTCTTATCGTAACTTTGATTACCTCCCAAGACGTTGAGAAATTAGATCCGATGCTTGTAGCACCATTTGTGAGAAAATATTTAAAGACTTCAAGGAAAGATGTTGCGCCTAAAGAACTTCATCAGATCAAGGTTTAATTAAACAGATTTCAAGATACATTTCATTAGATCAGACATTGATCTAATGAAATGTAGCTTAAAATATTTTATTTTTCTGAAATTCTTGCAAATGCTTACTGTTATCCAAATTAACCCACTATTCATATTACCCCGCTGTACCCTACAACTGCAATGTGTCGGTGATTTCGTCCTATCCCTTAAGGCATCTCCTTAATATTATACATATACAACATACATTATTTAGTATCCGATCGATTCGATTTATTGAATTCAATTATATTATTCGATTTACTGTTTGTAATTTCAGGTTGCAAAATCGAATGAAAAAGAGGCATCATGCACTATCAATGAAGATGATAAATTATTACCTAGTGAAACTTCGACAAATAATGTAATAAATAAATAGATATTAATATAAATTTTAGTTTTCAATGCTCGAAATTTGTTGCTCGAAACTTGAAAATAGAACATGATTTTACAGCCAATAATACTGTTTGTACAAAGTAAAAAAGAAAGGCATATTGAAATATTAAAAAAAATTTGTACAGTTTGTGCGTAATAGTATATATTTTTGATATGATGTATATCATATTGTAAAAATTATATTATAGATTATTGTAAAAATTACATTTACTTAAGCACATTACAATAAATAATAAAAAATATATTTATAATATTTTAATTGAAATTGTCTTAATTCACTAATTAATAAAATTGTTAAACTTTAGAGGTTTTTGCTAAGAATGGAATAAAAAATATACCGATTAAATTGGCGCGTCGGAAGGAACTTTTACGCCCAATGATCTACCCTATGTATTGCTTAACATATTCCAGCGCCAAAAATGATTTGTTATATTTATAGTTTTACAATAATAGGTTTACAATATATACATTCTAAGAACGGAATAAAAAATATACCGATCAAATTACGCATAGAATATACCGGGCGTGATCGGCTACGTCTTGGCAGGGCCGGGCTGGGCGCAAAAAAATTTTGAAAGGTGCAAAATTAATTATTCAGACAAATCGAATGGTGGTTTCCAATAGTTCTCGACGAGCTCGACAAAAAAGGTGTATCTGTTGTATAAGTTTAGAAGTTATAGGACGTTCTATGAGAAAACATTTTTTTGTTGATTCATGAATGTTTGATATTTATCCCTTATAGAACTCGGTGAGAGGAAGAAAAAAGGATTTTAAGAGATATATAAAAATGTATTAAATTATTTTGACTCTATCTCTAAGAGGATATATTGCAGTACAGAACGTATGTACACTTTTCTACATTCGTGGTGATTTCTTTTATTTGCCATATTGTCTTTGTACATAGGTATACGTTATGCATATAAAAATCTATGCATTCTAATAAATTTCTTTTTTCTGAAAGATGTAAAATTTCTCTCTTTGCGTGGATTATACTGATCAATACACATTGATTCAGATATTGATTTTAAAAAGAGTATATAATAGTTTTTCAAACAAACAATATGTTTCGATGCTTTTTTAAATCGATGTCTCGCATATATACCAAGTTAAGAAAATTAATAAATAATTGTAAATAATCCGTTCTGATTTTTTCTCAATTATCTTCTAATCGATAAGTAATTATTGAGCTGATGCTCTGCATCATCTCCATTCGCATGATGCAGTACGTTTGTAACGATTGTAAAAGCACAAACGTACGTGAGTCATATGGCATATGAGTAAGAGAATATATAAATCATTCACTCCGTAGCTGGACGCAGTCAATTCCGAGCCAGTGCGAGCAAGCAAAGACTTTAATGTCAATTGCGTCGCTCTGTCTCCAATTCATAAGTCTCAGTTATTATCAGATATGTGATATATATGTGACATGAAGCGTGACGTTCTGATAACCCGAAGGCGGAGATTATTGAAATTTATCTCCTATTTATTTGACGTGGAATTCAACGTTGATGCTTAATTCATCTGTCTATAATTTGTGATGGCAACGTCAAAGAATTTAATTAATTTGTTAGATGATGCCGTGTCCGAGACTCTGACGGGATTATCTTACACATATCCGCAATTAGAACATCACGTATCGCACAGAGTTGTATTTTCATCAGATGTACGTATATAAATATTTGCTTCTATCAATAATGCTATATGTTTCATTATGATTAAATGATGACAGATACGTCATGAAGCATTTAATGGAAAGAGCAAGTTTATTCTTCAACATTCTCATAAATAAATATATTTATAACAATAATTTTTCTCCTTCTCTTTCTCAATTTGTTATTTCTTTAAATAAATAAATTTTACATTGTAATACATTTGTACTAATTAAAGTTTTATTTGAAAACTTACATTATTTATAAGAATGTCAAAGAAGAGTAAAAATTATATTAATATCAAAGTGTTTCAAAAATATTCTAAATTTGGCGACTTCGTTATTTAATTCGTACACCATTACTTGGCTAATTTTATTTAATATGCCACTGAATTAAATATATATATATATATATATGTATATAATATATATGACTTTGTTGTCAATTCTAAATGCAATTTCAGCATAGGAATCGTCGAGGTAAAGTGGCCTTGGTCTGCGGCGGCGGTAGTGGACACGAACCATTTGCTGCAGGTATAATTAATCTCTGTGGCATGTATATATAATACGTAATTTGTTGTTTTGTTGCATTAAGTTGCATTTTAATCAGTATAAATTTGCATAAATCATTTGCCTTATTTATACGAAAATGAATAGAATCTTCTTTCTATACTTAAATCTATAGTGTCAAACTGAACCTTATTTAACTCCATTGTTTTAATAAAAAAATAAAAAAAACTATTTATTAAGTAAGAGCAGTGGCAACTTAAATAAGGTTCAGTTTGATACTATAGATTTAACAGTGTATAGGCGCGCTCGGATACATCATTCTATTCTTGTTTTCTAATGAATAATAAAGATAGAATATATGACGCGATAGCATGCTGACAGCGTGCTATCCAAACGTACCTTAACCTAAGTAAAATAAAAATTGTTACAAATAATATTTCATTTGTATAAGGTATTATATAAATTTCGATGTATATACGTTGTTATTCACACAAGTTAAAAAATTTGTTTATATTAAAAATTTAAATTTGTCATTATAATAAAAACTTTAAAAAGGACGAAAACCTTGTATACTTTGAAACTTTTTTGTCGTATATCTTTAGGCTTTGTTGGCAGCGGTATGTTGACGGCTTCTATAGCGGGATCTATTTTTGCGGCGCCGCCATCTACTCATATCACATATGCTCTTCGATGTATCGCGGAGAATAACAAAGGTCTTTTTATATTTTATATAATTATTATTAGATTATTTTTCTTTATTAACACATAGTCACATTAATATCTCCCTTTAGCTGGTATTGTGGTCATAGTACCTAATTACACGGGGGATTGTCTGAATTTTGGCATAGCGATCGAGAAGACTCGACAAGCGGGCGTCACGGTAAAATTAAAATCGCGGGAAAATCTCCCGCGATTTTAATTGTTTAAATCTACAAATAATAATATTTAATTTAAAAATTATCGACATATTTAAAAATTATATAATAATAATAATAATATCTCTCAATAATATCAGGTGGAGGAGATAATCGTTGGCGATGACTGCAGCATTCCCGAAAGTGAACGGAGCACCGCTGGCAAACGCGGACTGGTGGGCATGCTATTTGTTATCAAAATTGCGGGTGCTTTCGCCGAAAAGGGTTTTCCTCTGTGTGAAGTAGCGGAAATTGCGCGACGCGTTTCGCAAAGCACCGCGACTTACGGAATCGGACTGACCGCATGCGCTGTACCAGGTATGTGTGTATGTATACAAATACAGAGTGTCCCATATATTTGACAGTCATATATATATTTGGAAATCGCAGGGTTTTAAAAATTAAGATACGAGTAGATTGTTTATCGTTAAAAGAAATATTATATTTCTTTTAATATACTTTACGTTGTATATCACATGTATTTGATGAAAATCACTCTATGTATTGATGTACTCTGACAATGAGAGAATATTAAATGCAGGTCAAGGTCTCATGTTCGAGCTTGCACAGGATGAGATAGAGTGTGGAATGGGTGTCCATGGAGAAGCAGGATACGAGAGAATTAAACTCAAAACCGCATCTGAACTGGTGACATTAATGCTAGAACGCATTTGCAAAGTGTTATCTTTATCCCCTAATGACTCGGTCGCAGTTATAGTTAACAATTTCGGTGCTTTAAGTCAATTGGAACAAGGAATCGTCGTTTGTGAAGTTGTAAATCAACTAAGTGAGTATATTAATTTGTTTGGCGTCTTTTTTCTTTTCTTTCTTCTTTAATATTATTTTCATATCTTCTTTTTTATATTATTATCATACAATTTATATATATATATATTATATACAATATGAGTAACAGAATAAACAGATGAATAGATATCTGTTTTTCTCATCTTCAAGAAAAAAAAATAAATTCAAGCATAGTTTAATATGGAGATTAGAGGTGTGCGAATGAAGCATTTACATGGTCTAATTGAATCGAATTTTTGATAATATGTTCGAAATCGAATCGAATCCTTTTAATTCGAATACGAATCGAATCTGAATCAAATTTTTCCAGATTTACATTACATGTTAATTTAAACGTAATAAATTTCAAAATTTATGAATTACATTATTTTACGCAATGATTTAAACAAATTGAAGACCTGTTTTCGATTTACATCTCATTACAAAGGATCCTGATCTTATTGTAACATTTTGAACTAGAAAATATGTAATTAATAATATCTACATGTACATATATACATGTATACATGCACAAATAGTTTGAATGCTTTCGAATATTTTCTATATTAATCTACATGAAAACATTCCATACATCAAAAATACTTATTTATTAGATAAGAATAATTGATCGCGCGGGAGATAAATGAAGCAAATAAAATAGGCGATTGATTCGAAATCGAAACATTGTTGATTCGAAATTCTCGAACTATTCGATTTCGAATCTGACAGTTTCGAAAACAAACTTGAATCGAATCCACTGTGATTTGATTCGATTCTCGATACAAATTCGAACTATTCGCACACCTCTAAATTGAAGATTGAAAATCCTCATATTGGACTACGTTCAGATTCCCCATCTATATATAGGTACATACATCCAAGTCATCATTTTATTTTTATTGTTTATCGAATGTTAAACGAGGATAAAGTGATACCTATACGGATGAATTGGATGGATTCAGATGTGGAATCTGAACTAATCTTTGGGTACCTACAGAACATATTCAGATGCGTCTATTTTGTGTGTGTGTGTGTGTGTGTACATATTTTTCTTATTTTTGTGTAAAAATAATTAGCACGTGACTATAAATTTCTTTCTTTCAATTCGCCACTTTCAATTTTGTCTTATTATATTACTTATACGTATGTATACTTGTAATGATCTATCCTTATAAATATCAGACTACAGATTAAGATTTTGAAATTGGATTTAATTAATCAAAGCAAAGTTTACTAAATTTGAGATTGGTTTTCTTAATTCTTTTAACTGGTTAAATTTCAATCCTATCTCAATTTTTAGTCTGATACGGACATTACAATCTTTTTCTTGATGCAGAAAACATAGGTATACAGCCTGTTCGCGTCTATTCCGGTATTTTAATGACATCCTTAAATAGCGTTGGAATACACATAAGTCTACTAAAGTTGACCGAAAGCCATGGGGACGTATTCGTCAATTGTCTTGACGAAAAAACGATGGCACCATGCTGGCCAGGCTGTGCCTACAGCATTCCCTCAACTTTAACCCCAATGAGCATCTCATTAAAAGATGCGGAGAAGGAAAAAGTAGAAAAGATAGGAATATCGTTAAATGTGCGCCATCAGCGTCTGATTGAATCATGTTTGAAAGACGCCTGCGCCGCTATTATCGAGAAAGAGGCGTATCTCAACGGACTAGACCGCGGTTGCGGAGACGGAGATTGTGGATCGACATTGAAACGATTTGCCGATGGTACGCATATATGCGACGTACATTTATGTATACACACAATATATCTCTTAATTGCCAAGTTTACTCATTTTACATGTCTATTAGGTATTTTGAGTAATTTGGATAATTTATCCTTGTCGCATCCAGCGGCATTATTATCGGAAATAGCAAATATCGCGGAAGAATGTATGGGTGGGACTTCTGGAGCTTTATATTGTTTATTTTTTACGACTGGCGCGAAAATGTTGGCATCATTCAAGCAAGAGGAAGATATGCGACGCGTTTGGTTCGACGCATTCCGCAGCGGATTAAATTGTCTAGAGAAATACGGAAAAGCGAAAGTTGGCGACAGGACTATGGTTTGCATTTATATATGTTTATTAAAATGTGTATTATTATTAATATAAGTATATTATTATTATTATTATTATTATTATTATAAACGATATTAATACTACAGAAAGGTTTTTTTTGTAATATTAATGTCTGTTCACCATGTTGTTACTACTGTCGCAAAAATAATTAAACTTGTTGTGAAATATACATAGGATTTATATTAAAAATAAAATTTTAATTAATATTTTTAGATCGATACAATGTATCCGGCGTATAAAACATACGAGCAATTATTAAAGGCATCTCCGAGCGATTTTTACAATAGAATAGCCGAGGCGGCGTGGAAAGGATGCTACTCTACGAGAGATATGAAACCAAAGTATGTATATAGATGCAAAAGTTGTAGGATAATGTGTTTACTTTAACATTTAAAATATGTCCATATTTTAAATGTTAAAACTCAAATTTAAAATGGTATTAATTTATTCAATATTTTTAAATTAGCTACTTTTTTATATTTAATGCAGCGCGATACGTTTACAGAGCAGGACGAGCTAGTTATATAAAACAAGCTCGATATTTAACGGAAATGGATGCTGGAGCGTATGCCGCAGCAATATGGATTGCTGCTATTGTACAGACGATTACGCATTTCAAGGAATAACATATATATGTATATATATATATATATATATATGTATTATATATATATATATATTCGTTATCTTCTTTTTCCTTTTTACCCTTTCCTTTACTTGACTTATATACTTGAATTATATGTCTGAGAATCGTTGCCATAAAGGCAGAAGAGATAAAATTTATAATAATAAATAAAAAGTTTATTACTAAAATGGGATAAAGAATTAATTATCGATTATATTATCTATTTCTTAATTGCATAAAACGTTTAGAGATGTAGATATTACATCATATAATACTACTGACTATATGAAATAAAAATTGTTTCTGTTTTTATAAATAAAAAGTACACTTTTTAATATACATTTTTGACGATCAATACATTAACACTTTGTGACATAGGGATTATATCAAACTTAATATGAGATAAACATATATAGGACACATTATTGTTTGGCAGTATTTTGCCGATTAATCGGATATTACGATTTGTTTTTGCACCGACTAAAATATAGACAGCTTAAACTTACCGTTTTATTTTATTTTATACACGATAATATAGAATAAATAAGTAATTGTTGTATGTGTGTGTGTGTGTGTGTGTGTGTGTGTTTTTCATGAGATTACCCAAAGAGATTTGTCACAAAGCTGTTAAATCCGTTACTGATAGACGAGAAGATACCGCTGTTGGCATCGGCCGCAGTATTAATTCCCGATTGAGGTCGATAATGTAACGTATGATCACGGTGTGGATAAGGTCTTCCGCCGATATTTCCGTTATATAAAACAGATCCATTTTCATCGTCATATTGCCTCTGTTTCAAATATAATGAACTTTAATGTATGTAATATGTTAAAACGTAAGAGTGCAGATTAAAATATACACAAAGAGTATTGCATCGATATGTTAGTGATAGATTTTTCGCATTATTTTGTATAGCTAAATCTTTTTTCCTTTCCTCAATACAATATACTCAACATAAATATAAATTAATAAAGATACACGAATAAAAAACGCACAAATGGATCTTTCGCATTAGCTAGCATTACTTACTTTTGTCGAGTAAAGGGTAACATTGAGGAGTGTCGGATGTTGTTCAATTACTACAAATTCAATTTCACGAGGTACATATCCGTTTGAAAATACCTGAAAAAAACGTACGTGATATCAGATTCAGCATAATATAACATGGGCGAATAACACAGTTTCTAACAAATTTCTTATTTTATCTGCATACATCTTTTACATATTTTACTAGAGTATACGTGCATGCAGGCAAAAGGCAATCAATAAGGGAGAACGATTACATTGGACAGATTTACGTCTCAAACAACCTACCTCTAACTTGTAAACGCCAGGCAAAAGTATTCTCCAAAATTCGCCATATTTTGTTGTTGAGAAACTGACATCTCGTGATTTCACTTTAACGGAAGCCCTTTCGATAGGATTACCATTTTCATCGACAACAAAACCGTGAACACCTCTATGAGCTTCCGCCAGAAATTTGATTAGAGACTAAAAAGATATAGTAAGATGTTATAAAATAGAAACGCGTTTTAATGCTAAATAGACGCGCATTAAAGTCATATAGGCTCGAACGTCTTGTGTTATTCCTCTCTCTTTCTCTCTTTTTTCTCTCGCGCGCGCCCCTTAATTCTTCCTCTCATTAATTGTATACTGCAGTATAATCACCTTATTTCACAAGTCACTTACCGCTCGATTTTCCGCCCAGTAATGTGGTAAATCCGCGGCCGGAGGATATTTGCAACAAGAAAGTTCCAAGGTGATCTCCATACAGCCGTTCCACACGTAGTTGAAGTCTTGCATTCCACCGGTAAGCGGGTACCATTCGGCGCCGTTAGTAATTCCACGTTTAAATGCGGGCTGAGACGGCGAACAGGGTAATCCTTGATACATAGACCCATGGTTTCGAGAATACGTCAACGATAAATGTTGGAACACATCGTCATCCGGCGAGACGCTCGGCGTTGAAGTGAAACTCTGAAACACTATTCTCTCTATATGAAAAATTTACTGTTACTGTTTAAACTATAAATTGGACTATCTGTCCAATATAAATAGAGAATACAAAGATGATTTGTGTAATCTGTAGGATGCTGTCCACCGGACGTTTCTTTCAGATCTTTGGCTCTATAAATATCTCAACGAAAATGTCGAGACGCCTATAATTTTATCGCCTTTCTTCTTTTCTCTTTCCTTCTTCCTTCCCTTTTTTCTTAGTAAAACTGTACATGCGTTTCATGCCGCGTTTCTAATTGTACATCTAAATTTTTATATGTCCGTCAAGTACAATTTATTTAAGAAGTAGCTTTTCTTAGCGTAATTTCTATGAGACTAGCCGACTTTATCATTTACCTTTTTTCCAACATCTGCATATTCAAGTCACAATTGAGAATAATCATACTTGTAAAAAGTTTCTCATGCTTTGTAAGTAAATGATAAAGTAAATAAAGTCGCTATAACGAGCATTAACAATAAAAAATAATCATATATATTGCACAATACCTGCACATAGGGGCGCCGATCGACATATTCCTGACGGCATGAAAGTTTATATAATATCATGACAGCTTCAGATATGCAGCTATAGTCATAGCTGTCTGTAATCTGTCTGTTAATTGCTAATGCACAACATCGGAACGTTAATGAATTCGAAATTGATTCAATCAAAATATGGCTGGAGGATTGCTGCAGTCGAAAAAACAGTAATGCGCTCTTTCTCTTTTCGATTTTTATCTTTGTTCTTTTTTCTTAATTTCGAAATCGCATCATGCAAAAAGGACGATCACGATACAGATGTCAGTGGGACTACAACTCTGTGCGATTCCGTGGCTCGGAGTTGGATCGAGGACGCTCGAGAGCGAGCCGCACGCAGCATGGCTCACGCTGTCCGCCTTTTAACGATTTTAGCTCCGCGCGCGCGGAACGGTAACTCAACCAAGGTGATTCAACTTACGCGAATTTGGGGTATTGTCGAAGGGATAGCTGGCCACAAGCGCACCACCGTGCAGACTGCCCGAGAGCACGAACTGAATCTTCGAAACCCATTCCTTAACGGCCTCGGTTTCCGGTTGACTTTTTTTATTGTTTTGTTTAAAATAGTCTGGGAAATTGCGATTTAGGTCAAAGCCGCGCGCGTTATACCTGTGTAATCATACAATCGAATCGTGGAGATGAGAATTATGGATCATTTTCTTTTTTCGTGCGAAACGAATAAGAAATTAAAAGATGATATATATTTTAAGGTGGTTTTATCGTGTAAATACCAGTCAAAAGTCCCTCCATATGACTAAATAATTCAATAAAAACATTTCACATAGACTGTACGTATGCGATTATGTGACGTCACACTATCGAGTTGGCATTGAGCGATAAAACTACCTTAAGTTTAATTAACGTGTTTTGACGCTTATATCTTTTAGCAGAGACAAAAGCATTTAACGACGTATTTGTCAACGTTCCTGACAATTCATTCATATTTAGTTTGTGACTGTTTTGTGAAACATTAAGCACAAAACTTTTAATTTTATGTTTAATTTAAATCGAAAGAAAATATTGTCCCTTTGAAAGAAATATCGAAAGAGAGTGTCGGGTTTATTGCAATTTTTTTTATATTCACCTTCACCTTAAATCTTTTCATCGGTCATTAGGTTTAAAGTAAAAGTGTCAACATTGATTTGCGCAACCTGACCTGACTAGCCCAAAAAATAGAAACAAAGATAAAAATGACTAGTTAAGAAAATCGTTTATGTAAATGTCTAACCTGCCTTGACCACCGTCGCAGCGTCCCTCTTTAGAAACTTCAAAGCCATCAGGATTCATTGACGGTAGAATATGAATTCTTGTATTATCTAATAACCATGTAATATATGCGTCTGATCCGTACGATGTTACGAGAAACTGAAAAGAAAAAAAGAAAACTGAAAAAGAGATATTTGATTTGCAGAGACTTGTAAGAAATATATGCGCGTTATTTGTCAAATGCAAATAAATTATTAATATTAATATTATCATTCATATTGATTTAATATCCATCAGTTAATATTGATCGATATTAATTAATAAACTCAATTATAAATTGTTGTTTGTATTTGCAACTACTTTACCAGATAAAATCTCTTATCCGCGCGAATAAATCTTCTCTTCATAAAGCATTGTATACGCGATGAACCGAATTGCAGAGCAATAAGGGACATACGCTGCGCATGTGTTACTCGTTATATTGCGAGTAACGCGTGATGTGGAAATTCCAACGCTTGACATAATTACGTACATGAATGAGATGAAGCATTAATTCACGTCCCACAGCTTCGTTTCCGTGTATGTTAGCGATATATTTTACATCGGGCTTTCCGATCATGTGCTCGTACGGCGAGGATGACACGACCATTACCCATAAATCACGACCTGTCGTACGAGAGTATCGCTTGATTATAATTTATTCCGCTTCTCCTCCGCTTTTAAATATAAGTGTTGAAATGTGTATAAATGAGACGCCAATCGAAACGGCAGTCTTAGGTATTTCCTTTTATGCCGTTTATCGTGATCTCGATTAGACATCTGTAACATCGTACGAAGATAACGTACCTTTCACCGACTTTCCTATTGAATACAGCGCGGTGAGATTTTGAAATCGAAGGGACGTCGCGCGAAGAAAGCGGCTCATCTGCTCGTAATTGTGATACTTGAACTCGATGTTGTACGGTTCCTCATACATTAAGAAACGCGGATGATATAAACGAGGTACGTCTCCTTTACTGTGGAATTGCATTCCGCGAATGCTCCCATAAACGAAGACAAGAAAAAGTAGTGCACGATACATTCTGTAACAATTAATATCGTCGAATTATATGTATAACAATAAATATACTTGTGGCCGGATGAAATGTATTTAGAAAGCCTTTAAAATTAAAATTTTCTTTCGTTCTTTAATCAATTAAGTAATGTACTTGATAAGTATATAAATAGAAATAAAAAAAAGAGACAGAGGGAGTATATAATATATCGTATAATATAAAAATTCTAAAAATACACTTTTTCAATAAAAATATTGTAATCTTCGTGCGCATATAACATAACGTATTTAAGAATTATTTATCGTCTTATTCTTTTACATTTCAGAATATACAATACTTAAAATAATATCACGCTTACAAAACTTAATTATTAAAACCTTATTGTTACTAAAAATTACTTTACGTTACCTGATTGCCTAAACGTGTATCAGCAATGGAGAGAGATCGCACTGTGGAATCCGTAGAATCCGATCGTAAAATCAACGATCTTCCGCGTTCGTGTGCGCGCAAACTATTCGCGAAAGCGATTCGCGAGGCAGTATACGTGAGTGACGAGTTTTTTCAATGCTGGTTTTTTCTTCCGTTACTTCCAGTATCGAGTTTATATGGGGGACACGGTACCGCCGACGAGGAGGACACATGCACTGTTTTTCGGTCGTATACGCGATCACGTTGGCGCGCAGACGGCGGATGAGGTGACGGACAGCATTTACGGAAATCGTGAAAGAAGAAATGAAAGGAAAAGGAAAAAATGAAAAGAAAAGAAAAGAAAAAGAGAAAGAGAGAGAGAGAGAAGAGGAGGAAAAGGAGAAGGAGGAGGAGGAGGAGGAGGAGGAGGAAAAGGAAGAGAAGAGATAAAGAGGCTGTGGATCAAAGATCCCGAAGAACAGCCACGATGCCGAGCGAGATCGAGCCGAGGAGCGTAGGTGAGGACTAGGTGTAGATCTCAGTTCGTGAGAGTAACGGCGCGAAGAGATGTGTGATGATACTGTGTGAACTTACAAAGAGAGAAGCGGAATATGCCGTGCACTCACTACCACCACCAGCAAGCAACACCAAACGCCAGTAGCAGTACCGGTATAGCAGTAGCAGTAGCAGTAGCAGTAGTAATACCAGTACCAGTACCAGTACCAGTACCAGTACCAGCACCAGCACCAGCACCAGCACTCGAGCACCCAAGCACCACCACTGCCGACGCCACCACCACTACTAATGAAACCCACTTCCTCCGTCGCTCTGGTATCTGCTGCTGTCTGCTCGCCGTTGTAGCCCAACCACTAGCACAATGTGTCCCAGCTAGGAGACAGCCCGTTTACTGTCTCATCTCGACACTACCACACTGTCAACCGAGCACACAATGAGCAACGCCGTCAAGCGTATCGCGGCGAATTGTTATTTTGCGCACATTTAGCGTGGACGCATTTATCGTAATATCTGAAAATCTCTCGTGAACGTGGAAACGCGCGTTCGTTTCGCACGGCGATGTAACGAAACAAAAGTGTGAAACGCGTGATCCGCAAAAACCGTAAGAAACGTAAAAAAACGTCCGATTCTCTACGAATCAGTTAACAAATGAGTTTTGACAATATATAATTAAGATAAAGAGGCTCTCTATAAAAGTAGCTCAGCAAAAGTCAATTGTATATATCTTGAAAAATATTTCAAGTTAAATGAATATTTATTATACATTTCATAATAAATGATGAGAAAACTGTTTTCTACAGATGTAATGCGTTATATTGGTAAGAGAATCGCGCTAATTGAGGCGCGCTAATTAAAAAGCTATACAATTTTTTTCCTCCCGCGCTATTCTTATTCGGAGGCGCGAATTGTATATAGCTTCTCTCTAATAGTTATAATTAATAATTTTAGTATAATTCTAGTATTTGATTGTTACGCATCACAAATTAATTTCTAAGCGATCTCTCGCGGCTCTTGACACGTAAAGAGAACAAGTACATATGAAACTCGCGTGCGCGACTAGCGATTACAAACTACTACGACCGTCGCGTTTACCACTACTAATCGACATCACTACTACTAGCAACGGTGTTAATTGAGGTGAAGAGGTTTTCGTTCTTGATGTTTGGCACACGAGCCAACCGACCAACTCACCCACCCATCCACCCACCCACCTATCCACGAGCCGCTGTTACAGGCGATTTCGCGTCAGCTCTAGGCGCTATATTTTCGAATATAATGAGCCGCCTGTCTATCCGTGCGCTGAGGGCACCACCACAGAGATGGTGTACAGGTCGATAGACAGCATTCGTAAGATCACTGACGTCCACCACACGTACTTTCGACGTGCTATTGAGGACGGTGTCCTACTAGCGGTGCTTGCTTGCATGCCCGCCCGCCCGTTCCTCTGCCTACGTACCGAAGGCGCGCGGATCACGGTTTCGGATGGATCGTTGAACTCGTGAGCGGAAGGTGAAACACATCGAAAAAAAGTAGCCTCGGCGAGAAGTGTGTCACCGAGGCATCGCAGGTAGCAAGTAAAATGAAAGGCGAGAGAGAGAGAGAGAGAGAGAGAGAGAGAGAGAGAGAGAGAGAGAGAGAGAGAGGAGAGAGAAAAGGAATACTCGAACTTGGAGTTCCTGAGGAAATAGACTTTGCTCACGGTCGATGTGGTTTACCTTGAAACGACCAACCGCCTTCTCTGCCTCAAAGAAGACCTTTTCGTAACGGTACCGTTATTAAACAACATACACAAACACATACACATTTAAAATTTAATGAATTTTAATAAAACCGTTAATAAAATGCAGTCGAAAATGTGCGGAAAATCGAGAGATCTTGATATTAAATATTTTTTTACTTTGGAACAAAATATACTTTTCAACAAGCGACAAAACGGTAACATGTATCGTGAGACGGATAAACATTTGCTTTTAGACTTAGACTTACTGTATGCAGCAAGAATACACGGTGTTATAGAGATATATAATTATACTTGCGATGAGAGGGTGAATATCTGCCGTTCTTGCAAATGTCGTAATGTAGATTTATTAATGACCGCAATTAACAACTATGGAGAGAGGTACGTAACATTAAAGCCACTGAAAGTTAACTGGCAATTTTCTCTTATATAAAATAATTATTATTCTCAGAACCTTTTGCCTTGTTCTCTATAAAGTATTGTATGTATAATCATAATAATTAATTATAATGTATATATATATATATATATATGTGCGTGTGTGTGTGTGTGTGTGTGTGTGTGTGTATGTGTACATATATTATATAATATGTATATCGCGCGCGATTTTGCACACAATTTTTATTTACATGTGTACATGTAAAAATTTTATTTTCTCTAATGCAATGTTATATACATATTATATTGTATTTGGAACTTAGAAAATCACTTTTGCAATAAAACAAGGTACTTTGAGGAAAAAAAATATATTGCAACAATCGAAAGATAATATATTTGTCCTAAAAAATGTAAACGTGCAGCCAAAAGAATATGAGTTAAGTATTTAACATAGCGCTGTTACTTACCAGAGTTTTATAATAAACGCTTGTGTAAAAGTATATTTCCTTTCCTGGGAACATGACAATATGTTGGAATTTATCGGAAGGGATAACATTCCTCAATTGGTTCAAACGACAATATCGTTATAATTACAAGTCCGATAGCGGTGGTAAGGTATCGACAAGATGCCGCCAAGTTATTAATGAATCATTAATTTTAAGTCGTGTAGGGATGACACGGTTGACGCAAACGCACTTATCCGTAGTATCTTACGAACCATTCCCGCGTTTATATATTGTTATATATTAGTTATTTTTACCGATACGCGCAAAAACATACAAACTGTAGTTACATACATGATTCCGTTTTGCTACGAAGATTAACCATAAGGTCTTTGTATAAAACTGTACTGCATATTATAAAAATATACGCAGAAAAAGTAGGTTTAGAAAAATATTTTTGCTTTTGAAAACTATAATTAATTATTTAAACAAAAGAAGAACACTCTTTCTGTAAAAGATATATTATACTGTTACGTGCTATTACTAATAGAGATTATTTTTTCAATGAATATGAGAATATTACTTTGGTTATAGCAACTGTAGAAATGCAGATACTCTCTCTCAATTTCTTATTATATACTATAAGTGGTTTGTGGCGACCAATCGAGTGGTCTTCAAAATGCTCCAAATTGCTGTATAGCGTGTTCACCTTTTTCACGATATATTTATTGGCATATTTGATGCTGACTCACTTGCTATATATCATCTTTGTTATCGATAATGTGGATGACTTTGCTTCGACTTCCCCATTTTTCTTCTCGATGATCAGCTTAATGTTCAAAGCGTTTACTGCTGTAATCTATCGCGATCGGATTGTCAATACAATTGAAATTCTGCAAGAAAAACCTTGCAAAGCCTGCGATGAAGATGAGACTGATATCCTGATGAAATTCGATCGTTCAATTAGGTTGGTATATCAACATCTCTGTCGGCTTTTTCGATAATATCAATTTTGATAAGTAAATCAGTAAGCGTATGATAATACACACACACACACACACACACACAGAGTTATTTAATAAAACTATATTCACGAGCAGCAATAGAAAATAAATAAATTAAACTGGAGAATTCTTAATTACACAAATTAATTTTTCTCAAAGCAAATGGACTAAATCATTATGGCACAATTGCAAATACACATTGTACAATATTGTATGCGTTTTATGAATTCATGCGTCTCATGATCGTTATAGCATTAACAGGCCTATTTAAAATGTTACGTGCAATGATTGATGTTCCCTCTCGTCTCGAATTTATCGAACAGAATTGTCAATCCAATATAATTTTGAAGCAACCTTTACAGCAGCCTTGTGTCATTCTTGTCCTACGATAATTATATGTTTCTAATATATTTTTAAAAATTGTATGCAGATTTTATTCCATATGTTACCTACTTATATGTGCATTCTCGGCGGTGGGTGCCGTGTCAGCAGGAGTGCTCGATGTTTTAAAGGGTGAGATACCCTATAATACATGGATTCCTTGGGATTGCACTTCGTTCCTTTTATTCTTATTTACGGCCCTTCAAGAGATCATAGCTTTAATTATAGCCACGATTGTAAACGTCGCGACAGAAACTATAATATTAGGATTTTGCTTACAATTGTGTGCCCAGTTTGAAATCTTGAAATATCGCCTTCAAAGAATGATAAAACGTAAGGAAGAAGAAATATTTCCAAAAAATTTGTTGAATAATACGTCGCGTAAAATAAGTGAATTTTCGGAACACATTTCCCATCATCTGTGCATAATCAGGTTCGTCAAATATTATAAATGATATAAAGTTACTTATATAAGCGTATATATATATATATTTTTATATTAAATATATCAAATAATACTTAATATATACCTACCACACACACACATAGGTGCGCGCGCGATACCGCCGATACTTTGCTTTCTTAATTTCATGTTTCTTAAACAAAAGCTAAAAATAAAACTTACGTAACATAACAATACAAATTAGGAAGTATCCTTTATTAGATAATACTGTTTAGCAGTTTTTCTAATACTGTTTCGAATTTTGCAATAATTAAATTTTTTATAAGATAAAAATTTTTATATAAATAAAAATAAACATGTAAAAAAATGAGAAAAAATTGATATAATAAGCAGTAATATATAGATATTCTTTTTTTCACAAAAGTCATCTGTGCAAAATATCTACAAGTTAATGTGTGAAAATTTTTACAATTATTTCACTTCGATGTAAAACAATTTTTGTTGATTTGTACGTATATACTTAACATTTTTTTGCAAGACGTAAACATGTAATGCGAAACTTTTTTTGGGAAGTTTTCTGTAAACACAGGAGTGCATTCAATTTCGATAGAGTTATTTAACACAAATAACGCAATAATATATGAAGATTAAGTTATATGATCTGTCTTAAGATAGGTGTGCCAGTTTGCTGCATTCCGATTTTATATTTAAAACCGCATTATGAGAAAAATAAGAAAAAGAAAAATATAAATAAAATAGTTTTAGCAAGCTACAAACATGTAAATCGACCTAACATTAATGATATATACTCACTATTGTTTTTAAACTATGCTATTTGCAAAAGAAAATTGGAAAACATTTTATTTTTATTTGTAGAAATTGTTTTTAGCTGATTTTATGTAGAAACAAAAATCACAAATATACAAAGTATGAATTTTTACTTCTTTAACTACCTAAACAGATGTTTTCATCAATATTAATAAAATGCATAGTTTCGAATAATAAGAGGGTGCCACTTTAAAAGATCTCGATATCTTCGATATCGATATCGGCGATTTTCTTATACATATACAGGATGTCCGATACTCAATGGTGTAAAGCGCTTGTGGGCAGGTAGAGTGCAGGGCTAAACTGAATCGAAAAGTCCATTTTGCGATCTTTGCAATAGTTATCGAAATACTAATCATTAAAAAAAAAACTGTGAGCATACTAGTGAGTATCAGACACCCTATATATGTATATTATATACAGGTGTTTGAAAATTCAACCGACAAACTTTCAGAAATTGTCGGGGGTACCAAAAGGATTATTTTTTGGAAATGGACCTAGAGTCGAAAGCGTGTCGTTACACCGCTACGACAGACAGTGTTCGAACAAGATCGGACTCGAAATATCTAAAAAAATATAAGTTTTCTAAAAAATTGTTTCACCAGACAAAAGTTGTAGGGTGTAAAAAGGTCTATTTACATAAAACTACTGTTTAAAACTTATATTTGTTTAGATATTTCAAGGTCCGATCTTTTTTGAACACTGTCTGCCGTAACGGTGTAACGACACGCTTCCGATGGTTTAGGTCCATTTGCAAAAAATAATCCTTTTGGTGCCCCCAACAATCTCTGAAAGTTTGAATTTTCGAACACCCTGTATATTGTATAAGGTATACAATTGTAATATAACAAATAATAATATATGAGAATTGATTCGGCTGAGGTTACAAATTGGTGCTCAATTTGGTGCTTTTTAAATTTTTTAATTAATATCTACAGTCTCGCGGTTAGTCGGTTTCATTTTGTCGGTTCTCATTATTATTTATTGTACACATAAGATGGCCTTATTTGAAATTATAACATATATATTATGTATAGAATTACCCCTAAAAAACACACATACATACGTTTGATATACAGCATTTGTTAACAACTTAATTCTTCAATTATGCATTTGTGATGCAACACGTAATAATTGTAATATAATGTGTAAACATTTACAGACTTGCCAAAATGATCAACGACGTGTTTAGCCAAGTGATATTCGTTCAATTTTTCGTCAGTATTTTGGTATTGTGTTCAACTGTGTTCCATCTGTCTTCTCATTTGACAGTTACTGACCTTTCCACCTTGGTCGTCTTTACAATCAGCATGTTTGTACAAATTTTTATTTATTGTTGGGCTGGAAACGAAGTTATGCTCAAGGTAATTATGGCTGCTATAAAATGATATATTTGAACAGAAAATAATATTATAACAAAAAGAAATTTCTGCAAGACTTTTGCAACTATGCTATTTTATTTATTCTTTCATTTATTTTAATCAGTTTTATTTGCGTAGAGTACTGGATTGGGCGAAGCGATATATCATATGGACTGGATATTGATGACAATAAGCGAACAAAAGGATCTACTAATGATTATGAAACGTAGCACAAAACCCATTAAATTAACCAGCAGCTTCTTGATAACTTTATCTTTGGAATCGTATGGCGATGTCAGTTATTCAAGACCTATAATATTCTCACAAGTAAAGCACGCTTCCTACTAAATTCTCATTTTACTTTATTACAGCTTTTGAAGATGTCTTTCTCCGCATTTAACGTTTTGCAACAATTTTGAAAGTTTATTTACTCCTTCGCAATACACTATGTGTACAATATTATATAACGAATAAATCGCTCATTGCAAAATATATTTCAATATTTAATTAAAGTTAGCATGCGGTTGTTAACACGCTTTATTTCTTACTAACGTATGATGAGTTGATAATGAGTAATGATATGAGTTATTTATATTTATATATAAATAAATATTTACAGTGCATTCAAAAAGTTTCGAGACTGAATTTTTTCCGGACGCACTAAATAGCGCTGTCTATATATATATATATATCAATGGTGGGACTAATTAGTATAAAGTTTTTGCAAGTGTCCCACATTTTTTGCGTCGCTATTGAGTAAACTGTTCATGTACAGGGTGTTGTACATACACATTAGACAGTGTTGCGCGGCAGACTTTGCCCTTTTACAGAGGCAGACGCGGCTCAGTAATACTAAAAATTTTAAAAATACTAAAAACTAAAGTAAATACTAAATACTCATTATTTACTAAGCTGCGCCTGCCGCTGCAAGTCGCACAATTTGTCATATTGCTTAATATGTATATGCACCCTGTACAGTGCATATTTTAAAATTTCAAGATTTATTAACTTGTCACGTTACACTTAAAATCGACTCCACGTCCTTGAAACTGATCTCTTTAAGGCTGTTTTTAATTTTGGGAAGAAGAAGAAGAAGAAGTCTGCTGGAGTTAAATAGCGGCGAGTAGGGCGGGTAATTAATAACTGCGACCGATTTTTGTGCCAAGAATCTGTGAATTTTTCTTTTTATTGTTTTGTGTGTGTCATTCAAACACCTTATACTACGATTTAAACAGTCTTCTCCGTATGTATTTTGCATCATTATGAACATTTCCGATGCGTTTTTCTCATATTTGAAACAAAATTTTACCGCGGCTCTTTGCTTTATGTCAAAATTCGTGACAAGCCAATAAATCTTGCAATTTAGAAATATGCACTGTTGTACATTACTATGTACATTAGACGCTATTAATGCATCCAGGAAAAAAAATTCGGTCCCGGAACATTTTAAATGAAGGAGTATATATAAATAGAATGTAGATACGAAACGCGCGCGTAGATTACGCGAAACAATAAATAAAAAATTAACTTAAAGTCAGTCGAATAATTGATATTACATAAATACAATAACTGTTTTTACACATTATTTTGATTAACGTCTCAGAAACTTATCTTAGATATTTTTTATATATTCTCGAGACATTTCACCGTATTGATAGAAAAATGACACAAGTAACACAATTTTTTTTTTAAAGAGCATGTAAAGTTAAATTCAGCCTCGTAGAATTTTTTGTTTATTCTTATATTTACTTTTTTATGTTGTTGATTCTTGTATGTATAACTTCATGCTGTGAAAGATGTCATAATATAAAATGTAAATTATATATGATACAGTACAAATATTAAACACTATGATTTTTGCGTTTTTAATTTATGAATATTAACAATTAAATACGAGTAAAAAATATTCAAACTTTACATCATAGTGCCGCCGTAATATATATTAGTTTTATATACAAATAATAATATTATTTAGTTTATTTAATTAATAGGAAAAGAAAAATATTTTTTCTATGATTATCACATTTCTATGAAATACTTTACACGTATGTAAGAGTTGATATAAGAGTTCTGCTAGCGTCTTCATATTTGATAAACAGACAAACAGCAATTACGTACAGCAAAAAATATACGTATTCTCAACATTACTTTGTAATACTGAGACAATAAAGTAAGGGAAATATACCTAATCACTTATGTTCTCATTCACTGAACTATTTCCATGACTTTTCTGACATGAATAAACATTTTATTCGATGGGAATATGACAATATGTTTAGATACAAGGGTAAATGCACCCCTTGATCGTTACGAGTAAAACGGCCTTCGCATCCGTTACTACAGCTGTCATTACGCTATTCGCATAAACGGAAAATAAACTATATGCACCATAATAAACTATAATAGACTCTATATTAATGACCGTCGGTAATGGCATAAGGCTAAGAAGTTGAACCGAGTAAACACGTACGTAGCTTCACTTTGTAACACAAATAAACAATTTTATTTAATTAAAATTTAATTGTCTGTTTCTACGATATTGAAACAAACTTACGTCTATGATAACATCTTTTAATTCTGTTGTGTTGTTAAAAATGTGAAAAGCAGTATTCTGAGAAAAGTACGCGATAGATATTTCTAACTTTTCCCCGTCCCTCTTTCCTTCCCTCCCATCTCTTTCTCTCTCTCTCTTAATCATATTGATACATTTTATAGCTCAAATAATATCGTTTGACTGTTAACTTATAATATAAATTATATTCAATTTCTGTATTGAATAAATAATATTTGTTTACAGTCATAATTTGCAACAAGTAATTAATAAGTATAAACAGTTTTTTCGCAATTCTTCATTAACCATTCTTTTACAAATTCAATATATAGAAACAAGTTACATCCTTATGCGACATAAAGTAAACTGATTGTAAAAAGAGATACCAGTATGCAGATGTTTTCTCTAAATTTCCTAATGTATACCATTGGTGGTGTATGGATGCCAATTGAATGGTCATCGAACATTGCTAAGCTACTGTATAATGCGTTTACTACTATTGTATTAATCTTGTTATATTTTTTGATGATAACACAATTTATGGATATCATTCTTGTTGTCGATAATATTGATGATTTTGCCACAAATACTTTAATGTTTCTGACTATTGTTGCTGTTACTTGTAAAGCGACAATCGTTGTGATGCGTCGAAATGCAATCATCAATTTGGTGCAAGTATTGTTGACGGCACCTTGTAAGCCTCGAGACGAGGACGAAATAGCGATACAAACGAAATTTGATAAATTTATCAGGTGAGCATTTGCCACTATTACAATTTTTTGATAAGAAAATGTTAATAATGCTTTACTTCAAACGCCTACAAATTAAACATTTTTCTTTTGCAATTAGATTCAAAATTTAAAAAAGTTGTCTCTCCGACGCGACGTACCAAAGCCCTCTAAATTTCTTTTTTAATAAATTTTATTTTTTTGTTCAAAATCTATCAATTTTTAACGTTTTGCTAAACAAATATTTTAATAAATTAATTCTCCGTCGGCAATGTAAAATTTCCAAGTTTCCTAGTTTCCGAAAATGAATCTTTAAAGTCCACAGTACATTTTTTTATTGTTCACACTTATTGTACATTTATGAAACCTTTACCAAGTTTTTATCATAATAGAAATCAGATTGTATTTTACTTATTTTTTAGATTTAAATGTAAGTAAAAGTTTTGAAAAAACGTGATATTATTTAAAAATTTTTATAAATTTTTATAATTTTTATATGAGTAAATAAAAAAAATCCTTTTAGGACCTAAAATAATACCGTTCCTTACTGTTTATTCATTCTCTTAAAATTCGCAATTAAAAAATCAACTGTGCTTTAGAAGACTTATGATTGCCGACGGAGGCTTAGCAATATTATTTTGTGTGTGTGTGTGTGTGTGTG